ACCTTTCTCTTCTCTTTTCTTATTATTGTTCCGATAGGGTATGTGCCTATGTATGTATGTGCACGGGTACTATAGCTATGCAGTAGATAATAGATAATATATAATATATTTTATTAGGTGCAAAGTTCAAAATATAATTACAAACCCCGCTGTTCCGGTCGGAAGTAAGAAAAGGAAGAAAGGAAGAAGTATCAAGGAAAGAGTCGGATGAAGATAGTAAGTAGTAGTAGTAGTGGGGGAGGGGTAAATCGAATTTTACTACTACTTACTTACTTCCCTCCGGACTACGGTAATTCATTACCTACTTTATTTCCCCCCCATCATGTACAACATACTAATTTATCATACTTACAAATTAAGTCTACAGAATTGATAATCATCAAATAATCAAAACCCCGTCGTATAGCGACATCCCCATTTCGTATAATAAATTGTGTTATTTGTTTTAGATCTATGCAAATAAACTCCAGCTGCTTTTTTGATGTAATTTTAGATAAAACGAAAAGTTGGACAAAAATAATGATTTTTCTTCCGATTCTCGGAGAAGGAAGAAAAGAGACCAGACCCCCCATCACAAGGGGGAGGGAGGGAGGGAGGGGGTGGGGTGGGGAGTAAGTGTCAATGCAAGAAAGAAAGAGAAGAAAAACTTGCCCGGCGCTTATAATCCATGCAAGTCCGGGATGTCGCGGACGTGGAAGAGACAAAAACAGGATAAGCAACTAATAAAAAAGAAAACAAATACTTTGGAAAATGGACCCTCGGTCCAGAACGGAGGGGATATCATCGAGAAGCAACTGCAGTGGCGGGTGAGAAAGACAAAACACACAACCCACTCAAGAGACGCAAATGGAAATAGCAATGGAAAATGTAGTAGTAGTAGTAGTGAGTCGGCCAAAATAGCCCCAGAAACAGAAATGGATAATAGCAATCGGACTCCGTTTCAATATCATGAAAGATAAAGACCAGTTATGTGATCGCGCGCGCATGTTTTGTATCCCAGATCACAGATCTCCTAACACCGGCCCGGTCTCCATGTGGTAGATGTATGTTCGTAAGCATAAAAGCAAATCCCAAGTCGTAAATTCGTCATCCCAGTTTGAATCCTATTCCCGCTTGCAAATAGTCGTCCCGTGCTAGGCTGACTATTCGTCCTTTAGGCTACCGATCAGATTGCGAAGCGCATCCAGAATGACTGCTTCGTCCTTCGGTTCGCCGCCGGGGAACGAACTATCCGTGGCATTGCCGAGAACGCGAGCTCGGGCACTCTTGAGCACCTCCCGGATGTAGTTCTTATCCTCGTAGTCTTCCATCAGGACAGCTTCAAAGTCGTCAATCGCCTTGCTGGCCCGCTCATTGAACGACGACGCCTCCGAGTTGTCCATTGGGCCTGGCCCAGGGTCATGACCCATGCCCATATTCGGCGGAGGGTGCTGCATAGGTGGACCTGGAGGCGGCGGTGGAGGATGATGGCCTTGATGTGGCGGTGCATTCATCGGCGGCATGGACGGTGGGTTAGGCGGAGGATAAGGTGACTGGTGCTGTGGTTGGGGTGGCATTGGCTGCGTCTGTTGCGACTGCTGCAGCTGAACCAGCTGCGGCGGCGGATCCGAGGCATAAGGCGAGGTATAAGTGGAGGGCGTAGTCTGCGCAAAAGCAGGTGGAAGGTTGTTGCGGAGCGGACTCGGTATTGGGAAGGGTGTAGAGGCAGCAGCTGGAGCAGGGGGCGGATAGGGACTGGAATGGTGAGGTGTAGGAGTAGGATTCGGGGCAGGAGCTGGGGGAGGAGGAGGTGCATAAGGATTGGGAGGCATAGAGGGGAATTGGAAGTGCGGATTGGCCATCCCAGGTTGTCCATGCTGATTGCCATAGGATGGGTTCAGCTGGGGCATATACTGGGGAGTAGCTGCCGGTGCAGACGGAGGCTGCGACGCCGGCGGAGGAGGCGACGGGCGTCGCTTCTTTTCCTTCTCAACTGATGCCCCTGGGCGGAGCTGCCACGACCATCCTTTGCCATCACGCTCTGCATGCATGAAGAGATGGCTGTTGCCATTCAGGTTATGTCGCACACTAGACGTCCAGCCTTCAGTTTCACACTTGAATCGGAAATATGGGTATTTCAGCTTCAGCGCGCGGTAGATCTGCTTGAGCGTCATCGGAGTACCAGCCTCAGTGAGGGCATCAAAGATAAGCACGGCATAGTTGTATGGTGGTTTGGCCAAATCCTCCGGTGTGTAGGCGGATTCGGGAGGATAGTTGGGCGACGGTGAGCGCGAGGGCTTGCGCTTTTTGACTGGAGGTGCCTTGATGAACTCCTCCGGGCGATGTTCCATGGGAAATTGGCCGCCCTCGGTTGAGGGTAGTGGAAAGTCCATTGGCGTACCATCAGGCTTCTTCCTCTTCGTGTACTTGCGCTTCTCCGGCTTAGAATTAGGCGACTCCGCACCAACTGATTCTTTGGGTGTTGTCGTAACACCACTGGTTGGTGCCGGTGCCTTTCCAGCTTTGGGACGGTTCATGGGCGGAGGAGTGACGCCTCCATTGGCCTCGCGCTTCGCCGCCAACTTCTGTTCTCTTGCCAGTTCGGCTCGCTCGCGTTTGGACATGATGCCGTCCTTAGGGGGCCGTCCAGGACCACGACGCCGAACAGGCTGCTGATTGGGATCTCCGGAACCTTCAACGGACTGCACTGGTCGCGACGGATCAGGTTCAGCCCGGGTCTTGAGAATGATCTTCGTGGTCTTCGGCGTCTCCTTTGTCTCTGAGCCATCAGATGCGCGCTTCGGAGCTGGCGTTTCGTTCTCGGCCGTGGTTGAAGCCTGAGCATTCTCATCTTCGGCCGTAAATGGTTCTTCCACTCTATCTGCTCCAGTTTCGCCAATTGGCACGTCGGGAAGCAGGAAGCGGATGCGGACGCCTCCTATTTGGATATAATCGCCACTATGTAGGGGTCTCACTTGCCCCGGTGATAGCCAATCCGCGCCGATGAAAGCGCCATTTCTTCCCATAACCTCCATTTCGAAAAGGTTTCGGTCAAAGTTGTATGCAATTTTGACATGTTTACGTGAAATCCCTCGATGCCCGGCAGCACTACCGTCAACCGTCGCTGGGGGATGAATAGGGATCGTTGGACACGCATCCGGCGAAGGAAGTAAAGCCAAAGCATCCACTGGCTTCGCATCGCCGTTCTCTTCGTTCAAGGACTGCATTGCAAGTGCATTGTAATCGGTAGTCGACTGCAATTGGGCCGGAGTCGCATGCAACGGAGCCGATTCCGCGTGCGAAGACACGGACGAGCGACGACTGAGATGGTGTGGTAAATGAGGCGGAATATCGGGATCAAACCCCATAATACCACCGCGGTCACTGACCACACTTCCCAAGATGCCACTGCCCTCATGTTTCACGCGGTTGGGCGTATGCGACGTGTTGCCACCGCTCGAACTCTTAGCCCGGAAAGTCCTCATCGCCTGACGGACCTGGATTTCGCGCTGATGCGCCGCCCGGGCCGCTCGTACATCACGTCCAAGAATGAAGGAGTATGTATTGCAGTAAAAGTGACCGTCATCGAATTCTAGCTTCGCAAATGCCTGGATTCGGGGCTCCGATCCCGCGACCGAGCCAGCGATATCGTGAGACAAATGCCCACCAGAATAGCCAAGGGCGGAAAGATCAGCGCTTTGCGAGAGGTAGGCGGCGGTAAGCATCTCATTCTGCTGGAGGGCTTCAAACGGGGTCTTCGGAGCGGCGGTGATATCGAAGGAGGAAAAAAGGTCGGGATGGTCTAAACTCGCTTTGGAGAACAGTAACGGATCCGTCAAGCCTTCTACAGCATCTGATGCCTTTATTGACATACTATCGCCATGATCTGGGTTCGAAAAAGATAAATCGGTATGTTGTTCGGGGTTTTTCTCGTCTTGTTGGTGAGGAGCCAGCGATTCAGTCGATTCCGGCGGAAATTGATCCGCGCCTCCGTTGGTCGAATCTGCAGGGGCAGCCGGGGGTTCGGAGGTCGATTCGAAGTGCCATTGACTCTTTACATCCTGGTCGTTATTTTGGGACGGCTCGGCCCCGTCTTGGGCTTGCGGCATTGGATGATCCTCAGACTCCAGCCCGTCGGCCGAGACCTGGTTCCCGAGGAGTTGAGCCAGGAGCGCGCTGGCGGCCGATTGACGACGCATATCGGACTGGGCTTCTGGAGGAGCGGACGCGGAGGGGGCAGAATCGTGGTCGCCGGGTTCGGATTTGACCACGGGGGTGGTTGAGGACAGGGTAGACAGGCCATTGGGAGGAGAGTCGGGGGCAGAATCGTGCAGAGGGCGGATTGCGGAGTCGCTGGGCGGGGAGGGGTGCGGTTGGTCGTCGTGTTGCTGCTGGGAGCGGGCGTAGTCGTACACGGACGACATATTTGGAGCAGCATCTGGCGGACGATGGCCCACCGCAGACGCTGTCATGGTCTGCGACGACGACATGACCGGCGGGCAGGTCTTGAGGGCGGAGGGGGATTGGAGAAGGACGACGGGCTGGGAGAGGAGGAGGAGGAGGAGCAGAAGTCGAGGGCGGTGAGGCTGAGGCCCCCGTCCTACTCGCCCTGTGACTGGCTGGGCCCGTCACGCCCCGGTCGGTTTTTCATAAATTTTCTGCCAGATTGTGACGGTATTTTTGGCATTCCTCTATGCAGATGTAGCATTCTTACTGTACCCGCATGGTTATTACCACCCGGGAACGTATCACGGGCCTTGATTCACTGTTTCCGTACCTGAACTTGACCCCATACTATACCACTCACTAGTAAAGTAACTTACCTGGGAACTTTTTTTTTACTCCCCATCCCGGACCGACAGATCAGACCAGACCGACCTGCATAGTACTTCACGACCATAATCCCAGTCACTCTTACTTACTACTGACTCATTATCCATCTGTCCAACTATCATCTCCTCACCGACTCTCACTCCCATCACCATACACATCACCACCCCCATATCCCCACAAAAAAAAGAATGCCCAAAAAGACATCCAACTCCAAGCAGCAGCAGCAGCCCCCCTCATCCACCCCCAAATCCCATCTCCAACAAAAACACCAGCAGCAGCGGCAGCAACCCCCCAACTGGCCTCCTCTCCGCCCACTCATCCCATCCACCTCTCTCACCCTCGACCCTCTCGTCCCCGACCAAATCTACCTCATCCGGAACTTCTTCCCCTCGACGCTCTGCAAAACCTACACTTCATTCCTGGCCTCCCTGCCACTGACCACCACCCCGGGCAAACCCAAAAAGGGCGATGCAGTGCGAGTCAATGATCGGTTTCAGATCCAGGATGAGGGGTTCGCGGAGGGTCTTTGGTCGGGGACGGCGCTGAAGGAGATGGTTTTGAATGCGGGGGCAGATGATGAAGATGAAGAAGAGGAAGCAATGACAAGAGATATGAAAGACATCTGGGGCGGGGAACCTATTGGACTGAATGGGAATATCCGTATATATCGGTATTCGAAGGGGCAGTTCTTCGATAAACATTGTGAGTCTATCCTATCCCCCTCTTCCCATTATTCTTCTTTCTTTAAAATCCACGGTATCTCGGGGGTGGAGGTGGGAAAGGGTTGTCGGGTTGTAGAAGGATGCTATTTCGTAGTCAACTCCTAGTCAAAAGTAATTCAGTATGCTGATAGCTGCTCCTACCGTAGATGACGATTCAAATGCTATCACTTTCTCCTCGCCCGGTCGTCCGCCCCGTGCGGCCCGCACGACTTGGACGCTCCTTATCTATTTGACGAGCTGTGAGGGAGGGGAAACTGTCTTCTATCCAGAGGCGACCCGGACCAATCGCAATCCGGAGCCTGTATCGGTCGCTCCGGTGCCGGGAATGGCGCTGCTGCATCGGCATGGGGATCGGTGTATGTTGCATGAGGGGAAGGAGGTGCGGGAGGGGGAGAAGTGGGTGTTGAGGAGTGATTTGGTGGTTGCGCGATGATCTACAAAGTACTTGGGGTATCATTTGAGTTTACAGATACAGAGTCTGCTGCTTTTGAGGCTATGCTGTATTATAAATATCATCTTACGCATCCTATCGACACTGTCAAGCACTTGTCGTACATGTCAACCATATATGTATCCTTCGTAGCCAATGAGCTATTATAAACATAGAAACGGCAAAAGACAGGAATAACCCAGGTGGTTTATCAATGACACACGCGTCCGATCGCAGCGAACGAAGTGAGCAGCCTGGTGGCTGCGGCTTCCTGCGCGACTCGGCCATGAATATAACCCGTGTATGAACAGTCCAGAGACATACACAACCCCCCGCGATGCCGATAGTAAAACACGACCCAAATGTTTCGCCGATGAATAGGGGATCCTTTTTTCAGCCATCTGTCGTAGATCTCAAGACCAACAGGTTTCCCCGATTGGTCCGTCCAACCAAGAGCATAGATAGGCGAATTAACGACACAAGAAAGAGATAGAAAAGTCACCACATTGTCCCACACAAAACTCCCTCCCTCTTCGCCAAGGATTTCGTGTATTTATGAACCATTACGCCTCTCAAGCGGGCACAGGTTTAGATTCATATTCCGCTCGTCGCATGATATCTTCCACAGGACCGAGTAAGCGCTTGAAGCCATCCCGGCCCAGTTTCGCCACCTTCACCTCTGTCTTGGCCACGATGCTTGCAGCCCGTGGCTTGTCGTCCAACAAGGCTAGCTCACCAAAGTAGTCGCCGCGCTTGTAGGACTTCACAGGGCCCTCCACACCATTCTTGAAGGCCTCCGCCTCCCCGGATTCGAGAAGGTAGAAGGCATCACCTGGGTCGCCTTCGTTAATGATCGTAGAGCCCGCAGGATACTTGATGGCGTCCAGAGCATCGGCGATCTTGGCACGCTCATACGGCTTCAAGCTGGACAGCAGTGGCACCTCCTCGAGGAATGCCTCGTACATGCGACGGCGCTGGAAGGCCGAGTCCATGAGGATTCGGCGGAAAGTGATGCGGTCCAAGGCCCAGAGGGTGCTCTTCGGGTCCACCGACACAACGGTGGCGGCGCGAGGCGCATTGTACATGAGAGCCAGCTCTCCAAACGAGCCTCCGGGTCCAACGGAACCGACTTTGTTGCCCATACCCTCCGGACCGGGTTGCACAGAGCCCGACGGGTGGATCATGAAGTCAAAGTGGCCATTCTCTACGATGTAAAAGTAGTCTCCAGCATCACCCTGGCTGATGACCTTGATACCCTTGGCGGGGATAGGCTTCTCCACCAGGGCATCGAGCACACTCTTGAACTGGTCATCATCTAGGTGCGAGAAGAGGAAGTTGCTGCTGACCGCGGTCTTCAGCCGAGCCAGCTGCTCCTCTGATTTCTCATGGTACGGGGGAGTCCAGCTATCTGAGCCAGCCGAGGTCGGGTTCAGTGACTCTGCAGAAACCGATGTCCGGCGGCCCAGCGCGTAGTTATTAGGGAATCCCTGATTCGCGGCGCCCGTGGGGCGGATGTCTTCTGGAGGGAACTCGTCGGCACCCTCCTCGTCCTCCTCTCTGGGCCCATTGTCGAAGGGACTCCTGTTGAAACGAATTGGGCCGCTGTTATCGCCATAACCACCACCGAAGAAGGGGCTGCCGGTCGACGAGGATGCGGCAGCGGCGTTGGCAGATCGAAAAGTGGGATCGGTTGGTGACGTCACCTCGTATTCGTCCTCCTCGGAGATCTTCTGAAAAGCAGCGGCTTTGTCGTCTTTTGTGCCCACCCGGAGGGGTTGTTGGGCGCTGGGGAATGCACTCTCAGCCATGCTGGCGAAAGAAGGGCCGGAGAGAACACCGCTCCGGCCACAGTGAAGCGGGGAAGTTGGAAGGTCGGGAGACGGCGACTGAAGCGGCCGGCACGTAAGGACGGAAATGGTCTGAAGCAGGTCAGACGCTGAGCAAGATTTGGAAAGGCGGGCAGGTGAAGAAATAGAGTGTATGTGCGGGAGAGAAGGAGAGAAAAAGTAGGAGGGGGCAGTAGTCATCAGAAAGCGAGAGTAGTAGTAGTAGCAGGGTTTGGAAAGGACGGGGGGAACAGAAGATGTGGTAGCACAAGCCCGAGAGAAAGAGAGTGGGAGGGGAGGGAGGAGGGGCGGGTAGGGAAACCGACCAGAAGGTCGTAGCAGCAAGCAGATTGGAAGGTGGCCGTGGATGGAACAGAAATGGGGGATCCAGTCAGGGAAGCAAGATCATTGATGATTGGGGTCTCCGCTAAGCAGTGTGGGTATTGGGTCCAGCAGGCCTCATTGGAGGTCCGCCGTGGTACGTTTTCCTGCTTCGGAGCCTCTGAAGCTTTCTTCTGGCGGAGTGAGGGAGCTGTTTTGCCCGTAGATAGCTGGCCAGAGCTGTTCTGGTGCAGAGTAGATCTCACGAAGCAACACAAGCAATGTAGATACAGAAAAAAAAAAAAAAGGTAACAAAACTTGAGGAATATAATAGTGAAATACACAATAAAAAGAAAATAAATAAATAAATAAATAAATAAATGAGTCCAGTGTGAAACAACAAGCACAACAATCACAGCGGGAAAGGAAAATCACCGGGCAAGCTTTGGAGGGGCAACACGGCAGAAGTTTAATGGAGAGTAGCTTTGGGAGGAGGGATTCTCTTACCAGTGAGACTTCAGCGGCTTCTCGGTCGCGTGGGATTTGCAGACAATGGAAGGGTTGAGGGACCGGCTAGAAAAATGGCAGAAACACCTAATTTCGGGATGGAAGCCTTCTAGACAGTTCAATGGGGGGCTGCTTTTAAATGAAATTGAATGGCGCCAGAAAAGGGGTGGTGGTGGTGAAGTGGTGATACGCAGGGAACTTGATCCGGAGGGGTTGCAGAAAAAGGGAGGGGAAATGAATTAATGAAGAACCATGAAAAAGGCGGGGAGCAAACCAAAAAGCCAAACTGGATGATGGATGGATTATTATATGACTCGCGTCTAAAAAGTAAAGTCCTCTCATGATCATATCACTCTTTACTTCTATTTACAGTGGAAAATCATGTTTTTTCATTTTTATTTCCTTTTTCATTCTGATTATCTCCCTTCCCCCCCCTTTCCCAGTCTATTCCATTCCAGGAGTTCGGCTCTCTCCTACGACTGTACACACCATCCTTCGGAGAACTCCCCGGTGGTGCCCTTGTCGAACCCACCACCACCACCACCATCATCACTCAGGCCACCCTCCGTTCTTACTAGTAGACTCACCTCCTTAATTAAGGGCAACGGACTAAATTTCGGATGTGTTGGGAACCTCCATCGCTAGGACAAGATGGCTCAGACGGCTCGATCGACGTCACGGACACCCCGCTAGTCCAGTCCACTACTTCAATAGCTGACGGCCTTGGGTCAATAGTCTGTCTCCGTTCCTAGGTATTATCAAATGAAATCCATAGTCGGGCGTAGTCGATCGGACTAGCACCGTCTCAGCGCGTTCCAGAAGGTGAAAACGAAAAGGAGACGTGGACGATGGGCCCCAGACCTCCGAATCCTTCAGCCCAGTCGACCGGGAACGGACGCGATGTGGAAGAGGTGGAAGCTTCGATCGGCCCTCCCAGGGGCTTCCAGACGGTTTCTAGAACATTGCGGTATTCGGAATAGGAGGGCCAGTCAGAGTGCCAGCCAGCACTGGGTTGCGTTGCGTTGCGCCACCGGCGCTGTTGATTGAGATTGACAATCAGACCCTTGAACCGACCAACAACAAAGGGGGCGGGGAATCGCAATTAGTCCAGGCCAAGCAGACGCAAAAAGGAGACACTTACTGCCGACCAAGCATCATTCCTGCCCATCCCAATTCATCAAAGGTCGGTCTCGATTGCAGATAATTGGCTCATTGGGGGTTCTAATTCTCTCATCAGGCCCGACGCAGGTGGCGAACGAAATGGTGCTTGCGTTTGTGAGTCTGCTCTCCGTTCGGATGATCTGCTTGCTGAGGTCATAGCCAGGGTAGACTATCCGTTCGTTGACGTTTGCTGGAGAGCCACCATTCTGACAGGGCAAGTGGTTCCGTCAGCCACTTCGAGGTGTCAAAGTGCCATCATCTCCACTGAGAAGGTCAAGGTAACGGTCTGCTGTTTGCCAATCCGGCAGGCAATGAGAGCTATCAGACACACAGAGCTCCCATGGATCCATGAACTCGTTGCTGCTTTTGGCTCCATTCGAACCGACCTTCCCTCCCAAGCCTAATCCGGTTAGCGTTCTAGCCGTTATCGCATTCTTGGTTCGTCGACTTGGACTATTCCTTGTGCGGACTAGCTGATGTCCGTGCTCTCTGAATCAGGATTAGCGCCGGGAGTGCTGTTGGTGGAGGATGGAAAGACAAGACAAGAATGAAAGGGTGTTGAATTCATCCACTCCAGCGCTTCTTCTTACCGCTCATCCAAAAGGTCAACTCTTATTCTCGTGATCATAGCCTGAAACAATAATACAGACAGGGCGGTTATCTGTTGGCGTGAAGGCTTCGACAAAATGGAAAATGGGGGGCGGGGCGAGTGCCTAATGCAAGTTCGCCAACAGTCACATCGATGGCTGGACTGGACCTTTCAGTCTTACAGTGTAGTCCAGTCTAGTACTTCGGCTGTGGGTTGGGATCTACACGGACCATATAAAGTTTTCCAGGCTCTCACAGTGCATATGTTGAATAACTTACTCTCATGCTCTCTGTAGTCTGTACGGATTAATATGTAAAGCAATGTGAGTGATTCGATCAGGTCCGTCAGGTACCATCGACGTGTTTTATCCAGTAGAAACTCTTGCCTGTGCGAAGCCCCTGGGAAGATGCGCCAAAAGGCAAGGCGAATGGCTGTGACTACGGGCAGGAATGCAGCCCTGCACGAGCCTCCATACCAACGGACTCTTGGGATTCCCACAACAAGGTTCTGATGAAACTGGCCAAGTCTAGCGCGATAAGATGCCAGCTGTCGCTGCGCTGAGTTGTACACGGGCTGGCAAAGAGCTGGCAGCCACTGGGAGTGTCTAGAATTCTTTCCGGTACGGGGTGACTCAATCCATGTGTTATTCCGCGAGGCTTGCTTAGAATTCATCATTACCGAATCCTCAACACAGAATAAGCCACGGCGAAAATCATTGCGTGTGTGTGTATGCTGTTGCTTGCTGTTTCGCCTTGATCAATTTTGACACCAGGAACATCCAAGTGGCGGCTTCTTACAGCGTACCTACTTACTTACTCACTTGCCAGTCAATACTTCCTGCCAAAGAGTCCGACCGGTGACGGTCTGTGTGCGACCGAACAGCGCCCCCCGCTCCATCTCTCTCTCCCCTCTCCATCTTTTTCCCAGCAACACTTTATCGCCGTTCCCAGCCTCTTCCATACGCCATTTCTTACCATTCTTTAATCTTTTTTTATTTTATCCTGTTTGCTCCGAGCGTTTAGCTCTCTTGTTATCCCTCCGTTCCTACTACAGTCTCTGCTGCTGACAAGTTCCTGCTCCCACCACATCTATTGTCTGAGTTTGGGGGATCCAAAGCCCACCCGCCGTAAAAATGGGGAGCTACACATTTACATGGTAAGTGACAGATCCCATTCTCCCACCCTCTGGAACCTCCAATTGTGGGGGATCAGCCACTCCACGGCCCTCCTGTGGAAATTCTATTCTATCCGACACCTTCCGTACCAAGCGACAAGCACGTATGGATCAAAGCCTAGCTTTCTTCAGCGTCATGAGCTTGAAACTCTCGGGGTGGATTTGATCGCTGACCGATGCGGATCCTCGCATGCGACCAGGCCGTACAATGCGAATGAAGTGTTTGTCACCGGCACGTTTGATGACTGGGGCAAGACCGTCAAATTGGATCGCGTAGGCGATGTCTTTGAGAAGGAAGTTCCGTTGCCAGTGACGGATGAGAAGGTGCACTACAAGGTGAGACAGCAGTCGCATGCTCTGCACATGACTTTTATGGCGCAGAGCCGTTCCCTGTCCTGATTTGCTTGCCATGCCATTGTTTGTACTTCCCGCCGAGGATTACGTCCTTTGATGGGGAAACCCATCGTGAGGATCCCGTTCCTCTTCCAGTCCCTCTGCCTGTCCTGCTTATCAAGTTCCATCGCGCGATGACGCTCCATCCGTGGCCTGACGTCATGTCGCCGCCAGTCGCGGACGGGCGTGGTTTCCCCCTCTCATGTTTCCTGACTCTCCTCCCCCCAAAACTATAAGACTCCCTTGTCAGCGTCATCGTTGCATTGGTTCCACAAACTAACAATTGTTTTTTTTCTTTGGTTCATAGTTCGTCGTTGACGGCATCTGGACCACCGATAACAGAGCTCCCGAAGAAGACGACGGCAGTAGCAATATCAACAACGTTCTCTATCCCGACCAAATCCTTAAAGAATCAACCACACCTTTATTAAACGGCACTGCAGAAATGGCCGGGGTCACACCAGGCTCGACAACCGCTGCATTGGCAGCCGGAGTCCCCAAGGAGTCCAGCAGCAAACAAGGACAGAATGGATACTATCCCACCATCTCATCGGCCGCTCCGGGGTCGACTACTGCCGCGCTCGGCCAGGATGTGCCGCTCGAGCAGAGGGCCAATGTCCCTGGCTCGTATCCCATTACCCCAGCCAGCGAAGCTGACAAGTTCTCCGTGAATCCCATTCCGGCGTCCAGTGGCGCGGGAAACCCGATCAAGCTGAACCCGGGCGAGAAGGTGCCTGATCCCAGCACCTTCAACGCCAACACTATCTCTTCGACCGCACGTACCGACCGGGCCGGCTATGAGCAGGGCACCAGTGGTGGATTCCCCGGAAGCCCTGCTTATGATGCCAGTGCCTTTGCGATTCCCCCCGTGTCCAAGAACATGATCCCCGAGTCTAGTCTGCCAATGGGTGAAAGCCAGGGAGCCACTGAGCCCAGCTACACAATCCAGTCGGCTGCACCAACGTCTACAACTGCTGGACTTGCAGCTGCTGTCCCGCTGGAGTCTCAGCGACAAACAGGCGGCAGAGTGCCCACGAGAGATGTCCCGGATGTGGTGAGACAGTCGTTGTCTGAAGCCCATCGGGACCCTGAGGCGGCCACCAGCAAGGAGGCTGTCGATGAGAAGAAAGAGATGGAAGAGGAACTTCGAAGGAAAGTTCCGGTGGACAACTCGACTGGCGCGCCGGCGCCTACCACTGTTGCTGGGCTTGGTACTTCATCTGGACTTGGGTTTACCGCTGGGGCTGCTCCTTCGACCAACCTTGGTCCTTCCACTGGCCTTGACGTTGCTACTGGTATGGGTACCACTACCGGTCTGGGCGCTGTGGCTGGAGCTACCGCTGCACAGGGCTCTCAGAAAGAGACAACCAGCGGGTTGCCGGCTCACGATGTCCCAGATGTAGTCAAGCAGTCGATCTCTGAAGCTCATCGGGATCCGGAGGCAGCAGGTGTCGAGGAGGCTGTCGGAGAGAAGAGAGAAGTCGAAGAAGAGCTTCAACAGAAGGTTCCCGTGAGCAATCAGTCTGGCACACCCGCACCTGTGATCACGGCTGCTACATCTGAGAGAGCACCAGGAGCGTCTGGTGCTGAACCGGCTTCGGAGAGCGCGCCGCGTGCTACTGGTGCTGAGTCGGCTTCGGCCCAAGTTTCTCCCAGGGCCACTACCCCTACAGATGGGCCCACGGTGACCACCGGAGTTGCCACATCGAAGGCTCCTGAAGAGTCTGGACCTGGCGCATCTGGCCGTGAGGACACCACTGAGATTCCAACGAAGCCCGCTGCTGGTGCGACGGGAGCGAGTGCGACCAAGACTGTCGACTCTGGCGTAGAGAGTGGCATTGCTCCCGACGAGACGACGCCTGCTCCGACAGCTGGTGCCACGGGGGCCAGCGCAACGAAGACTGCCGATCCCACCGAGACCAGCGGTGCACCGACCAGTGGTACCAGCAAGCCAGCAGAGTCCGCGCCGACCAGCAATGCGGCAGCCACCTCGAAGCCGGCTACCAACAATGCCGCTGGAGCGACGACGAATGGCAAGGAGGAGAAAAAGAAGAAGAAGGGCTTTTTCTCGCGACTGAAGGAGAAGCTGAAATCGGTTTAAGAGGATGCAATGATATGGCTTCTATGATAATGACCCGGGTGTATAATGGGAGGTGGAATGGGGTTTTATGCTTTTCACGTTGACTGGATACCTTGTTTGCATGGCTCGTATAATTGCTACGGCTTGTTTGGTTTATTGCTGCTCCACGGAGCATCGATAGCTAGTATGATAATGTTAATGTTCTGATGAATATATGTCGAGTCTACCTATTGATAAGATGTAGCTATATTACTAGATTACCAGATTACTAGAATACTAGATGGGTATTGCGTTGCTCACAGCCCCATTGACTTTGACCGGATACCCAAGGACACTAGCAGAGATGTCAGTATACGCAGTAGACATGATAGAAAGAAAGAAAGACATACTCCTTCCCCGTCTGCGTCAAACAACAACCACAGAAAATCGACGCCGGATAGCAAATGACCTGCAGGCAGTTACTAAGTTAGTTGTCATATTCAACCCAGGCCTTTTGAGTAGATATATAGCAAGCAAGCAGGTAGTGGTGATGTAAATATACATACAGCCGCAACCACCGTACAAATAAAGCCTGAAGGAGTTATTAGCATACATACTTATATATGAAACAATAGGTTTGGGGGAATATGAAGGAAGGAATATACCTAATGTCGGTCCCACGACTTTACAGCGACATGGGTTCTGGTCTGTTCCGCATTGGAAGCAGATGGGGAAGATGGGAAGGAAGGGGATGTCGCACATATTCCTCTGTTTTGGGGGGTTTGACTGAGTG